CATAAAATCAAGGCAATTTGTGTTGATAAAATCATTGACTAAAAGTGACTTATTGTTGAGTGATCTGATGTTTAGAAGTGCTAACTTAACAGTTTTAGTCGTTTTCACTACAGAAGTCTCAGATATACATTTAATAGACACCAGATTTGAATGATTTGCTATACGGTCTGAAAGAGTCTTTGGTTTTCTGTCACGTAATAAGACACATATCTGCGTAGAGAAAGCTACAGACACACTGGGTTCCTGCTTGTTCTGTAAACATCTGATAAAGACACTGTTACCTAAGCAGGCCCCCGAGACACATCAATGGCAGTTTTTAAGTTCACCAGCTAAAGATGAGGTGTTTTTTGGGACCTGGCGCTGTCGCAAAGACCTGAGGCCTTTCCTAGGTGTAGGGCGAGGTGGGCTTAGAGATGGGCGTGTGGCTTGCTGACTTTTGGTTGCTAACTGGGGGCTAGCAGCAATGGAGTGTGAGAGTTTAGTTCCAGCACACACCAGTTCCTCCATCTTTTTTGAAAAATCCAAGAGAGGCGAGCAAGATGACAATGAGAACGTGTCCGGTGACAGAGGCTGTGGGTCTGGGGTTTCTGGCTGCTGAGATATGTTTACCTGGCTGTTTTCCTGGGGATCATCAATGAGTGCTGAGACTTGATGCTGTTCTGATGCATCACAGTCTGCCTGTGTTGAGCTCAGTGTGCAGGGTGCAGACAGCAGTTTGTCCGTTATCGGCGGTTGTTGTGGCTGCGTGGTGTTATCTCTGTCTTTGTAGGATGCGTCAGCCACAAGTCCACTCAGGAGCTGATTTGAATTCCTGTGATCATCCGGACATTTGCTAGGTGTGTGTGTGTCATTCAGTTCAGTGGCATACACAGCTGATGGATGATGGAGGGAGAAGAGGATGTTGTCTTTCAGCACTTTTGCACCTAGCTTGTTTGGATGAAGGCCGTCTGATATAAACAGCTGTCTTTGGTTCCAGAAGAGATTGAAGTTGTCGATGAAATTCAGTCTTTTCATGTTACATGTTTTCTGCAGCCATGCATTTAGACCAAGGAGCCTTGAAAACATATTTGTCCCTCTTGCAGGGAGTGGTCCACTGATGAACGGCTGAATTTTCAATCTTTCAACTGTTTCCAAGAGCTCACAGAAATCTCTCTTGAGCAGTTCTGACTGCTCCTTCCGAATATCATTCTTCCCCACATGGATGATAATCCGTTTTGCAGTCTCATGTTTCCTTAATATGTTCTCAAGTTCTTTATTTATATCAGAAACTGTAGCATGAGGAAAGCAGTATGTCATGGTATCTCTGCTCCTAAAATTTTTGATTATTGAATCTCCAACAATCAATGTTCTTATCTCTGTTGCGATCGGAGCAGAATGCCGCTGTCTAGTCGGCCTTGAGCCTCTGTTCAGAGCAAAGTTAATTGCTGAGTCATGCGATCTCTGTCTGACTGCATTTGGGGAATCTTCACCCATATTACTCAAAACTTCATATCTGTTCTGAAGCTGTATTTGAGTCCGAGCTGTATTTGGGGTAGAGAACGCTAATGCAGCAGCGTTTGACCTTCGTGATCTGACCCCACGAGTACCCTTTGGTCTCGCACCTTGTTTATGCCATAGTTCACGCTGATTTTCAACAGTTTCAATCTGTTTTTCTGTTCTCAAAACAGTAGCTGGAGTAGATTTATAGGGCTTACCGGCTGAATGCTGTGAGGCTCCACGATGAACCGGTCCTGTGTAATTCGGCAGTTCTGGTTGGATCGCAAGTAACTTTGTTTCAAGAACTGCAATCTTTTGTAAAAGTTTGTGGCAGTTGGTGCAGCAGTGAGATTCCAAATCAATATGATCCAGAGCCATTTTCACAGCCGTGTTTTCCCGTCTCAGGAATGAAAGCAGCTGGTAGCGGGAGGATTGTTTAGACGATAATTCCTCTAAATAAAAGTAAAGTTGTACTCCAGAAAGTTTGTAGATTCGATGTTGATCTTCAAGCTGTTTCGTTTGAGCACTGTGCTGATAGGCTCAAGTTAAAAATAGATTATAAAATAAAAAAGCAGGAGTGCAAGGAGCGGAGCAGTAGGCAAAGACGTCCGAACAGTAGCAAAGCAGCAAGCGCTCGATCACCACACAATTCACATTTCCTCCAGAGTTTCATGTACTTTTAGGCGTTTCATTTTTAATTTGTCAAATTTAACTGCAGTTTGACACTTTCACTTTCATTTAGGAATATTTCCTGCACGCCCCCCGTGACAAACAGGAGGTTGCAAGGAACTGCTGGAAAAGTGTATGTTAAATGGAATTTGATACCATACGCCGAATGGGGAAAAAAAACCCTATATAATTCTTGGTAACTTGGAAGCACTCGGTAGGTGCAGAAAATAGCATCAAGCAGCCATGATTGATTACGGTGTTTACATGTTTACATTCGGAGAGCAGAATTTACAGCGGATCTTTCAGTCCATAATATTGTAGGGATAGTAACGTACTGTAAACTTAGTAACTAAATCATTTTGACTAAGATAAGTCTTTAAAAACTGAAAGAGTATTGCAGACGATACAAACTATCTTTGCCATCTGAACAAACTGAACACTGATCACACACCAACCAAATCTGTAGAGAGAAATCAATCAACACTAACTGGAACCACATCTTTTTTTTAAAAGTAGATGAGTCAAATTCAGATTTCACTATTTCTAGATGCAAAAAGCTCTCAGGTAAAAAACGTTCCTTACAAATGTATTTTTGTTGCATGTTAGCAGACCACTGTAATCCACATGTGAGTCAAGCTGTGCTCTCATAGCAGGGAAATGTGTTGCAGCACATTTATAAAAACAACACTGATGACTTATGTCTCCAATCAATTCTTCTTTCACTTGTTTAAGTTACGGTTGGCAACACAACGTGGCGTCTCTTTGCTGTTTGAACATTGTAACAGATAAAAACAGTATTTAAAACTATCAAGCATATTAATGAAGTTGCACCTCATACACAATAAAACGCGCTGATTGGTTCAAACCAAGTCTTTCTCTTGAATTAAAGGGCACATAGTTTACTCCTTTTTTATGATTTAATATTAGTATTAAGGTTCCAGTGTTCCAGTTTAGGTTCAGTTTAAAACAGTGCAGATTTTTTTATTATATTGTGTTAAAAAGTGTCATGTTGGGGGCTTGTACACAGCTCGCTGTTTTAGGGGTGTGTTGCTTCACATGAAAAAGCAACGTAACAAGGGGCGGAGCCAAGAGCTCACCCGCTCTGTGTTGCAACAGACAGGCAGACTAAGAGAAGGAGCAGGAGTGAGAGGATCAGCATTCAGCCGTACATGTACAACTCGCACACAGACCAAGCAGAGAGTACAAAATCATTTGTATTTTTGTATAGTTTTACATCCGACTGTGTGCTAGTTTCAAGTGCCGAGCTTGTACACCAAGACTAATAACCACGCACACTGAATTAACTTTGACTGAGGCACCGGATGTACCGCTCGAAGCCGCGACACGGCACACCAGACACTCTCTGTGGCGCGGCAGAAACATCCCGAAATATCCGGAATCGTCGCGCCATGCATTTTAGAACTCTAAACACAGGTTTCATCCTGGCACACATAACGGCGCCCCAAGTCGGTGGCTGCCCGCGGCACCCAGCCGCCGACTTGAAGCGCCGCTGCGTGAACCCCGACAGAAAACCACGCCCAGTATTCCAAAATGCATGAAAAATGCAAATGGTTGAAGTTTAAGGTAGGCGCAATAAAAAGTGCACGTTTGCAAACCTACCTAAAGGTACAACCAATAATTACGATTAGAGCGATAATGTGGAGAATATTGATCTTGTGTTGAGCCCAATGAGCCTTGCATCTAAAAATAGAGCAAGGATGTTCCTTTAGTGATATCGATTTGACTCACGCTGAAAATGGCGGACGTGAAACGACAAACTAAGTATTAGTTGATGCGTGCCTGTCAATCAATATTGGTAGGCGGGGGAACCAGACTCCTACGTCAAGTTGTGGTCGCTCTGAAAACCGCTCCAATTGGTCCACCGTTTTTCTGTTGTTAAATTGAAAAAAAGCACTTGGTGTGTTTATATCACCCCAATATGACGGTCTATACACTATACTTAAACACATGTCTGTCCAAACAGCTTGAAAAGCAGATTTTTACCATAGGTGCCCTTTAAAGATGAAAACTCAAAGATGTCAAGCTGTACCCACCGGTACAGACATCCAGTCCCCATGCTGGAATTTACACCGAAGGAAGGAATTGGCTCGAAATACCGCAAATCAACCAATTTTCACTTTTTTATAAAATATATGTGTCCTAATAGTGTTTTTAGCAGTGTGGGACTCATATATGACTGTCAACAGCTCAAAGAATGTGTTTTGGTGTGTCGTGACCCTTTAAGAACTAGCCATTTATTTCAAAATAGATGCCATTGCCGGCATGACTGTAATGCAAGGAGGTTGTGCAAAAACTGAAATGATTTTTATAGTGCAATGCTTAAAGTACAAATGAAATAAAACTACAGTAACCATATGATTTTCTTAACTCACATTGCTAGTTTTGTGGTGAACAATTCATCTGTGCATGTCATTAAGAAAAAACAATAATTGTTTGCCCTTGTAATCTAAAATAGAAATCCGAAAATGCACTTCCTGTTTGTTTTCAGTTAAACTGTCAGTTTACGTGCATTTGAGGTATTGGGCATGGCTAACATATTTAACCATGCCCTTCTATCAGTTTAGACAAGAATGGAAAGGAAGAGGTGTCTGTTAGGTTGTAATAACTCTTCTGAAACCCTTTTCCCGATCTTTCAGAATAAAATGCGTACTTTACTACATCCAATCAGTAGAAAAACAAGCCACGCCTACTGTTATCTCATTTATTATTCTGTTTCTCTAGAAACTGCATCACAATAAAAACAAAAACAGTTGCAACTTCGGGTTCATGTGGACTTTAAATATTTACCACTGCTTGGACTGTGTTGCGAATTGTATTGAATCATTTTTACCTACCATTCTTTACTATTTTGAGGATAAATTGTGAGGTTTGTGAGCTGTAAGCCGTCTTTCATCCACTCCGGGTGGTCTTCACAATCTAAATCTGTTCCGTTCAAACCCATGGAGGCCGTGCAGGTGAGGACCACACTGTGACCAAGCGTACTCGACACTGACTGTGTTCGATCATGCTTGAACTCTGGAGAGCTGCCACAAAGGGAATCTTTATAATGAGAGAGGAAAAAAAGAGAAATGTGAGTGTTTTGTGTTGTGTTAAGATGAATTAAACGTGACTTTCCCCAAAATAAGTTCACAACAAAACTACTGGATTCTTTAAACAGGTAGAAATTTCTGGAATGAGCTCACCTGAATGGAGCTCAGCTAAAAACAATGCTCTCTTTATGAGCGTAAGTCTTGTGGAGGATATCTAATCTCAGGAGAGATGAGTGAAACTCTCTTCTGACACACAGGTGAGGCTGTTTCTCATCAGCGCTGCTTCATATTACCACGTCAGAGTAAAATGTTCATCATCTGTCTACATGGATACAGTATTTGGTGCTATAACATGGAAGTTGGGCTCATAAAAGGTTGAATAGTCATTTATTATGAAGGTTCATCTGAAAGCTTGCCTACCACGTGATGTTTAATGGAAATCACTGCCAGCTTAAATATTGTATGTGTGGATTTCAAGGAACATGTTAAAGGATCTCTAATGTGGACAGAGTTTGGAGTGTGTCTATATATCGTTCAATCCACAAACTTGGGAATTGACTTGGGAATTGGGTCAGAAGCAAGCTGTTAAGATTGGGTCAGTTGGTTTGGCCTTTAACAAACTCTTCTCTCTCTGAGGATTTGAGGCAGGCGGCACAGCTGGGTCATGATGGAAATACCATTCTTAGAAATGTCTTGGAAAAGGACATTGAGGATAAAAATAGATCAGACCTTCCTAATGAGCGGTTTAATAACAAACCCAATACACCCTACACAGGTCAGGCAGCAATGACTGGGTATTTTGGATTCACCTACAATGGTAGTTGAAAGATGTAATCTGAATACACTGATAAATTAACTTAAAAAGAGCACAAAAGCATTCTCAAATGGTTACTACACGATACACTGTGTATCGAAGGGAGTTTCAGTGTTTCTCAATCACTTCCCTGGAGGATCACCAACACTGCAGGTTTTGGATGTTCCCTTTGTCAGTCACACTCATTACAGGTCTTTCAGTCTCTGCTAACGAGCTGATGATCTGAATCAGGTGTGTTTGGTTAAGAAGACACAGAATTGAGCAGAGCTGGTGGTCCTCCAGGAATGTGGATGAGAAACACTGAATTATTTGTCACAACTCTAGACTGCAGCGCCCATGTTGGCCACTAGAGTGCACTGAATTTGGACTTGTTCAATCCCATGTTCCTTTGCTTTCTTGATTTTTCTATTGATTTCAGCTGCATGTTGTTATTCTGTATAGTTCGGTGTGGATTTAAGTCAGTTTAATTTCTCTTTTCATTGTTTCTGTATTACGTTACCCCTGCCCTTCTGTCATTTTTCATTTTGGTTTTTTATATTTGTTTATTGTCTGTTCCAATGGATGATGCATTGTTCTGTTCTTGGATGATGCACCAATTTAACTCGGCCCGTTCCGTGACACTATTCTCCTTTGACATACAGGTCAGTTTAAAATAGCTGTCCAAACTCGGTTCCACTGCAGCATTATATTAATATTATTTTAACATTATATTAACATTATTTTTTCTATTGAAAATCAAGGCATGATCATATTCAATTGTGGTAAAATAAGCGTACACTTAAGGCCTTTGCCATTCATATAAGCCACTTCTGATACCAAATTAGTAGTCAAGTTATTGCTTGCTGTTCCTAAAACTTGGATAGGTGACAACAACACTTGTCAGGCAGTGTACGCATCGCAGACATGTGAAAAAAATTACATTTATGTTACGCACTGGTTGTTTATCTAAATTTGACCAATCAGATGGAACCTTCCTATCCTAATACCCGCCTTGCCAGTAGTTGCTGTTCTGCTATTGGATGGAGCGGCCTAAAGGGGAACCCAGAGCTGAAAAGAAATACTAATGGCGGCAAATCAGAGAATATCAGCTGAGGTTTTTACTCATTCATAGTGCTTTAAAAACTAAATGTTTGTGCCTTGACAGTTTTTTCCATCTGAATTAGAATCATTTATATCTAAAAAATATAAATACACTATTAGGATTCAATAACATAGCTAACAGGTGACGCAGTGGTGCAGTAGGTAGTGCTGTTGCCTCAAAGCAAGAAGGTCGCTGGTTCGATCCTTGACTCAGTTGGCGTTTCTGTGTGGAGTTTGCATGTTCTCCCTGTGTTTGCGTGGGTTTCCTCCGGGTGCTCCGGTTTCCCCCACAGTCCAAAGACATGCGGTACAGGTGAATTTGGTAGGCTAAATTGTCCGTAGTGTATGAGTGTATGTATGTGGATGTTTCCCAGAGATGGGTTTAGGCTGGAAGGGCATTCGCTGTGTAAAAATATGCTGGATAAGTTGGCGATTCATTCCGCTGTGGCGACCCTGGATTAATAAAGGCACTACGCTGACAAGAAAATAAATGAATGAATGAATGAATGAATGAACATAGCTAACAAAAATAGCATTTTTCTAGGGAATTGTTATATTGTAAGGAATATCATTAATGCAATACTCAACAACAAAATCACATATACTAACAGTAGCGTGCAGTGCAGATACAATTACACACCTCTGTACTCTGTATTAGCCGATACCTTGAGCCCAGGTATCGGGAATGGAAAAACAGTACATCTGTAAGTTAAACAATTTTTTTATTTTTTTTAATTAATGTGTATCAGTAACGTTAATGAACATCTTTAATCTGTTAGTAAATACTATTGCGTCTTTCTAGAGCGAACCAGAAAACCCATTTTGATACTGTTTATTAATGTTGTTAATATGAATAAAATCAATTTGAGCTTTGAATTAATAATCTATCTGGAAAAAAAATGAATAAACAGTCATTTATTGGTATATATCAGCCATATAATTATCATGTTTAGTAGGTCAAGTGTGCAGAATGTGCCGAGCCAGCATTTGTGTATACTTATGTTTCAGGCTTTAGAAACAAAAGCTCATATTTCACATCCATTGACAAATGTTTCCTCTTCGTCTAGTTCTGAAAGATAATATCCAACAGGTCATATATTGATTTCCAACTAGTATGCAAGCATAAAAATGAGAGCGCAGAACTAAATTTGCATTTATTCAAAGCCATTAAGGAGAGACACTTGTGTTTCCTATAACTCAGCTAGAGCTTGCTGAAATAGAAATGTCAAGGATTCAATGGCAAGAAATATTAATTTAAGAAATATGTATTATAAAATATACCAGCTAAATTAATTAATTTAAAAAGTTAATGACTAAAAGGATCGACTATAAGCAATTTTATTAAATAACAATTAGTACCACTATCCTTCAATCCACTTGGTTTTACCTATTTCTAAACAAGATGTACTTGATTATTTAAAACATTTGATATTGATTATAATTATATTTACAATGATCACGTTTATGTATTTTAATGAACCCAGGCTCACTCTAAAAAAAGTAACACTATATACATTCCTGAAGATCGCAAAATACATCACAAGAGCTACGTTTTTTTGCAGTTTTTGTTTTTGAGAATCCACTGTTGTGCTTTTTCAGATCTCAATATTTTTTGCGAGTGCCATTCACGCCTGAGGTTTCCTGTAAGTCCACCAGAGGCCGCTGTTGATCGATCGACTGACCCACCCTCCTCCTTCCCTAAACCCAACCAATAGTGTTTTCAAAAGCACAGATTTACTCAAACACCCACTTTCCTAAATCCAACTGACGATTTTAAAAAGCAATTCAGAAGAAGGAAAGCCCCCGCCTGATATTTACTACGTTTTTAGATTTTTCCACATTCTCACCTACATTATACACATTCTCACCCTATTATTTACTTGCTTATTTTAATTTTTGACTTTGGTTTTTGTCTTATTTTCTGGAACTGTTCTTCATCAGACTCGAACCCCATCTTCGCTGTCAGCTCCTCTCTGCATATCCGCCAATGTACAAGGCAGGCTAACTGGACAAACTGGTAACATCGGGAAAGCCATCCATACAGAGATAAGCAGTCAGCTGGTAAATGTGAAAAAGAACACTATCATACTGCCCTGTTGCATTTGTTTTAAAGACAAAATGCAGCCATACGTACTTCTGGATACATAATTTACAAACTCCTGATATGTATATAGAGCTACATTTTCCAAATGAGTCGATTTTAATAGGTACAGTATACAAATGTCAGAATAATTAACTACTTTGGTAACACTAAACTAAAAATGTCTGTTAATTAACAATATTTTGTGATTTACAAGTGTTTACCATTCATTTACTGTTATAAATAATATTATAGGATGTTGATATCTCCTCCGGAGACTTTTCATGTTGAAAATTTAAATTTGAAGTTTAACAAAGCAAAAATTGTACCGTAACATACAACACTGACACAGACAATGTGTTACTTTAAACTGTAAAAAATGCAAAAAAAAAAAAACTTTTCAAGGTTTAATAGTTGTTGGAAGAAAGATCCAGGTCCCATGATGCATATCAAAAGCATAAATAAATGATGATTGGTCATTTATTACATGAACATACATTGAAAAATATATTTATTACAGTATTTATTCATCTTTGTTAACATTAGTTATGAAGATATAGTCCTAAAATTATTGTATGATCATTAATCTTTATATAAATGTATATGTCATGCTGGCTAACATTTTTTCAGAACTAAAACATTACAAACTAGTGCATAATTTAATATTCTTTATACACACTGAATAATGAGTTCTGCAAAATTGTTGCAAAGAATTTACATGGGTTGAATTTAAATAATCAAATTTAATTTAGTAATGCTCTGCCTAATTTGTTTGTCTTAATTTAACCCAAAAACATTTTTTTAAACCACAACATAAAAAAATATATATAAATCCAAAGAATCTTTTTTTTATGATATATACATGTTTTATATGCACACCAAAATCTGACATCTTGTCTTTAACCCAAATACTAAAGTGTAAAAATTGGGCAAGAAAAGAGAAGAAGAAAAACAATGTCATGAGAGTAAATATTGGCTGTTCCAAAACACACTCTTACTCCAGACCACGTTTGCACTGGATTGCTCATTTTATGGCAGCTTTAACCCATGCATGCGGGTGAATCATATGATCTATTACAGGTGCTTTACATAACATGTCAACATGCTGGATGCCCATATAGGCGGAAGAAAGATTTGTGTATTAATCTGACAACAGGTTTGACAAAGAAATTTGTGCTGCCTGAATACGCTTTTATTTTTTAATCTAGCCTGCCCTGTGCACTCTATGTTTACTGTTTGTTCAAACTACTAATTTAAAATAAGCTGAAACATCAAAATTCTTGAGTTTTTTGCGGGGACAACTTACCTGTTTTATGTTTAATCCACTTAAATTTGTAAAAACTAATAAGTTAACTAAATTATTTCATGTTGTCTTAACACAAATCAATGTGTGGAACCCAGCATTTTTTTCCAGCATAGGTTATAACACTGTTTTAGGGTTAATTAATGTCTATTTTCACCTCACTGATACTCTCAACACTGAATAGTCACTATGGCACCGGTGTAAAAGATTTTTTTCTTCACCTGTGTAATGTTTAAGTTCGATTATAGTTGCAGTCGGTAGCTTCATTCAATCATTAAACAGGAGCAGCTGTGTTAAACAGACCATTACCAGGTACAAAGTTCCCATGCTTGAGAGGCTTTTTTTATTCTGGTAGACAAACAAGGTGATGAATTAATGCTCTCATGGACAGGGAGTACAGTATTAACTGGAAAAACTACTTCAGCAGGTCACCAGGACATCATTATGTTTTTGTGTGAACAGTTGGGGAATAAACTATGCTGCAAAAAATGATTTTCTTACTTAGAGTTTTGTCTTGTTGTCTTGAAAAATTCTTAAATCAGGAAGCAAAAAATATTATAAATAAATAAATGAATAATATATAAATTTATTGAGTTTTTCCTCAGTTAGATTTTTTTCCGCGAAATACTCTTATGTCAAAGCAAAAAAACAACATTATTTTACTTGTTTTAAGGAAAAACTCACTTAATTTTGGCATCTTATTTCTAACACAAGACAATATTTTTTGCTTATGCAAAAATATATATAAAAAAATTATATATATATATATATATATATATATATATATATATATATATATATATATATATATATATATATATATATATATATATATATATATTATTTTATTTTATTTTTATTTTTTTGCCTTGTTTCTGGTCCAAATATAGAACTTCTTAAATCAAGAATCATTTTCTAGTCAAGTAAAAGATACAGTTTTACTTTAAGAAATAATTCAACAATAAATTAGTTTAGCTTCAAATAACAAGCAATATTATTTGCTAATGGGGTAAGTAAAATAAACACAACCTGGAAACAAGATTTTTTTGCTTGTTTTATGGAAAACTCCACTTCATTTTGATGTAGAATTTTAGAATCCTTTTTTACTTTTCTCCAAAATGCTTCTTGATTTAAGATTTTTTTTTTTTTTTTTTTTACGTATTTGGACAAGAGACAAATAAAAAAAACGTAGAATCTCTAGTAAGAATATATATGTATATATGTAATTAATGTATTATTAATTAATTCCCTGCCATAAAGAGGTTTCTATATTTAGCAACTGCATGTTCTCAAGAAGATAATATGATTTTTGTTCAAGACAAGAAGTCACATGCTTTATATGTTGTACATTCATATTATTTATTAAATATGGCAACTACTTTGCAGAAACAGTTTTCTGTACACTAGCAATTTTAGGATTTTTTTTTCGTTTTGAACTGTTTCACTACAACATTTTTCTAAAAAAAAAAATAATTATTATTATTATACACCGCAAAAACATGCATTTACTTAGATTTTACATAGATTAATAATATTTTTGTTAATTCATAAATCAAGAAGCATTTTTTTAGAGACGCAAGATATTCTTGTTTTAAGAAATAATATGCCAAAATTTAGTAAGTTATTGCTCGAAACAAGCTAAATAATCTGCGATATGGTTAAAAAAATAATCTTGTTTTTTTGTTAGTCTAGAAAATGCTTATTGATTTACCAAAATTGAAATTTGGACTAGGGACGACACAGTGGGGCAGTAGGTAGTGCTGTTGCCTCACAGCAAGAAGGTCGCTGGTTCGATCCTGGCTGGATCAGCTGGAATTTCTATGTAAAGTTTGCATATTCTCCCCGTGTTTGCGAGGGTTTGCTCCAGGTGCTCTGGTTTCCCCCACAGTCCAAACACATGCGTACAGGTGAATTGGGTAAGCTAAAATTGTCTGTAGTGAATGGGTTTGAATAGGAGTGTGTGAGTGTTTCCCAGTGATGGGTTGCAGCTGGAAGGGTATCCGCTGTGTAAAACATGTGCTGGATAAGTTGGTGGTTCATTCCACTGTGGTGACCCCAGATTAATAAAGGGAGTAAGTCAAAAAGAAAATGAATGAATGAATGGTATTCGGACTATAAACAAGACAAAAAATCTAAGTAAGAAAAGCCTTGTTGCAGTGTGTTTTAATAGCATTCATTCATTCAGCATTCATTGTGACAACAACACACCCCTCTAAAGGTCAATGTGTTAAATGAATCATAACATTTTTTTATAGGGTAACTGGTGAGGTAATAGGGTAATACAAATTTTTGTGTAATCCTTTAACTGAGAAATATTAGAATTAGCATCATCAACCAATACTTGCTAAAATCGTGTCAGGGATATTTACAGTAAAATGGGAATTAGTTTTTGAAATATAGGCTAATAAAACACTCTGATGATAACAATGAAGCTCTAAAATACAAATTAACTGAACATTATTTTCATCCACATTTCATACTGCAAAATAAACAAAACAAAACATTAAATGGACTTGAAATTCAATGAATAAAGCACATTTGTAATCTTGAAAAAAATACTCAATATAAGCGGTGACCTGTGTATCATTTCAGATAGATAGATAGATAGATAGATAGATAGATAGATAGATAGATAGATAGATAGATAGATAGATAGATAGATAGATAGATAGATAGATAGATAGATAGATAGATAGATAGATAGATAGATAGATAGATAGATAGATAGATAGATAGATAGAAGTCTTACCTGCAGAATGAGAGTTCGCGAGACATGTCAGGAAGAGAATGAAGTGACAGCGCCACATTGCAGCCCTCAGATAAATCCCTTCACGACCGACTGTCTCTGTAAAACAGTTTGAGTCATGAAGCTGACAGACTCTCTTCGGCGGTGAAACAAAGACTGTAGATGGTGACAGCGGTGTCTCATGACGCGCTGTAAACGCGGAAGGTTGAACTGAGCGAGTCTGTCGTCCGGAATCACTGTACTGGGAACACCGAGTCACGTGATCCTGCTCACCTGCTCCCTTCTCTGAACAGGTGAACGCTGAGCGGGCAAAATGAGACAAGGCGAGCCATCTCTTTTAAAACTTTGGATAGAAAGAACGCTAACAACTGCTAACGACAACACAAAGACCATAATTGTGTATATATGGCCTGCATTGATAAATTATTAAAAACATTGTAGACGGAAACGTGAGAAAAGATCGTTAATGTACACATATAGACTCGTCGAAGAATAAGTATGCAAATGTTGTCAATAGTACAATTTTTGTCTTTAAAAAAAATCATACCAACTATATATAAATGTACTTGCTATTATGCAGATAAAATTTGGTCATTAAAACAGAACAAAAGGAAAAAAATACCCACACTAAAGAACCTGTTCAAACATATGTTTTAATATAGGTTTTGAAATAGTGTTTTTTTTAAATAACAAAATATACACTACACGTATTGTTTCCATGTCAGTCTTGCGAGATTTAGTTTGGGCATAGATGTCGGCGATTCTTCCTATTTGAAAGCGTGTGAAGGCCCCTTTTGCTGATCCATCTTGCAGTGTAAACAAAAAAGTGACGAAACACTACCCCAAATAGTCATGCAATATGAAAACATCTGTGACACGACTGCTTTGAAAACCATGCAGTCTGAACTCGGCATAATCGAATTATGTGCTATAACATGTAAAACAGGATCATGAAATGAACATTAAAAAAGCAACTCATGTAAACACCTTAATCATATTATTGTCTCATTCAGATTATGGCAAATGATTAGATTACTGATGTCTATGTAAACCTTATGACAGACACTTTTTTGGAACCTGGTGCATTTTTTGCAAGCTGGTATCTCAGCTTGGTTTATGCTGGAGGATGGAAGCCAGTGCAAATGAGAGAGCAAGCAATGTATAGAACACCAAAAATTAAGCTATCATACTCAAGCTCAAAATGCAACTAGTTATATTTTTAGCTATCATTACTTCCTAAGGGCAAAAGCAAAACACTTTACCTCTTTTAAAATTGGTGAGCTGCAAAATTAAGGCTTCTTAAGGCTGGGACACACCTAGCTGATGGCAAGCCAACTGGGTTTTCGTCTTGCGTTGGCTCACATCTAGTCTCATCTAGACCAAAAAGTTGCACGTGAACACACCAAACAGGTGACAGCTGACTGTATGCCGCCTCAGTTTTCGTTCTCACACTTTGATTTGTTGCTAAATAACCAATTAGGGGTGTGTTTCCCAAAACCATAGTTAGCCAACTAAGGTCACAAGTTTCGTTGTTACAAGTTATGTCGTTGTTTGGGAAATGCACCCCAGAGTGCTCTCTGCAGTCAACAACCAATTTAACCTGCTGAATTGGGCGACATGTAGAACACACCAAACAAATTAGCCAAACACATTGACACTTAATTAAAAAATATATATATATATATATATTAAAGATCCCGAGAGTTATGGGACAATAATTTTCTTTCTCACCAGAATTTATTTCAGCCAACATAAAATGGCATATACAGTTAGATCAATAGTCTCGAATGCAATTCCTGGAGGCAAGCAACTATTCATGGTAAAGCTCCAACCACCTCCAACTCACACCTGCTTAACAGTCATTTTGAACACTTTGATTAGATGGATTAGGTGTGTTTGATTAGAGTTCGAGAAAAACTGGGCAGACTTTCGGCCCTTAAGGGATCGAGTTTGAGACCTATGAGTTAGATCTTCAGTGAATGATGACTTGAAAACTAACATTTTGCTTAAAGAAGTAGGCTGTAATCCAAGACACGTACATTTTTATGAAATTCATCAAAAATTAATTAAACATGCTCATTCTTTATACTGTACTGAATAGAGGTGCTAGAATGTTGTTCAAATTCCCACTCTTTCAGTGCTACATGAAAGTCATACACATTTGGAAATGACATGAGGGTGACATTATGTTCAGGTGTAGTTACTTTTCTTTTTCAGTTTGGACACTTGTACAGCCAGATTTTTCCATCACAGGAGGTTTTGTTTTGGAGCTGTGGATCAGAAAGGACCTGAATGACCTGCTGAACCAGCCGAAGGTGGCCTTCAGACAAAAAGACTGAACGCAAACAATTATGAAGATCATGTTTTTAGATGACAAACTGCTGCAGGGGACAAACTGGAGAACAGGCATCTACAGAGCAATGTAAAGCAGGCGTGCTTTTTACCTTCATTTGCAAAAATATAGCAAACAGATTATCTAGCAGGTCACATGTGTTTATTTTGAGTGCACGAGCTCTTGATAGATTTGTTTTATTCAGTAAATTTAATTACTTAAACAAAAACTAAATTTTTTTTTAACAAACTGCATTTTGCCCTCTGCCAGCAATTAGTATATGATTTAGCATGTTGTTAGCATGATGGAGTACCATGTTGGCTTTAAGCAGTATCTTATAGTGTTTAAACCACATAAATAATGTGTTTTAAATAATGTGTTTTAACCGTTTCCTTGCATCTAGTTATGTTTTAAAATTGTGCTAGCATAATACTCTTGAATTAATGTTTTAAGTATGAACATAACGAGGTTTCCCTGCTGAAAAATCCAGCTTAAACCAGCCTAGACTGGTTAGCTGTTTTTAGTTGGTCGACCAGACTGGTTTTAGAGGGGGCCATTTAAGGCATACTCACACTATGTACAGTTGCCTTAAACCGGGCCAAAGCACACTGTCCCCTGTCCTGTCTCTCCTTGACGGCCTGCACTCACATTACATTCGGGCCTAGGCACGCTTATGTCATTGATGATGCTCTTTCTCAGCACAGTGGAGATTTCTTTAGTTATGTTGTTTGACATGCAGTGACACGCAGTCAAACGTTTCGCCAAACAGATTAGCTGCTTTTGAAGCTCATAAACAAACACAAAGTCCTCGTGCTGCAGGAATTAGAAGGTTTGCTGAAGGTGCGCAGCTTTCGTGCCCACTAGTGAGGGGTTTGCGTCTTTAATAACCTACGACAGTCTCTTCAAAGTCACGTCTCGATTGCGTTTTGCACTCACACACAAGCGTACCACGCCAAAGCCTAAGTGAACCGCGCTCAGGCACACCTCTTCCAACCAGCCAGGGCCGGCCAAGTGAACCGTCTCTGAGTTCGATTCAGCGCACTCACACTTCTCAAATGATCAAGGAAACGGGCCTGGGCATGGTTCGGATAGCAAAGTGTGAGTAGGCCTTTGCAGGCTGGTGTCCAGCCATTTGCCTGATCTTAGCTTGTCAGGCTGGGAGCCCAGCTAAAACTAGCTATATCCAGCTTAAACCAGGCTGATCAAGCTGAGCTGGTCAGTTCCCAGCCTGACCAGCTTAGACCAAGCTGGAAATGGCCAAAACCCCTCTAAAACCAGGCTGGTCGACCAGCTAAAACCCACCAGCCAACCTAGGCTGGTTTAAGCAGTTTTTTTCAGCAGGTTTGTTGTTGGTTCACATCTTAAAACACTAACAAAATGTTGATAAAATCATAATGCTGCTTGCATGTTTGTAGCATTTGTTTTTAACATGGTTTGCATATATATTTTCAAAATGAATTAGTATGTCTTAGTGTTTTTAGCATGGATTAGCAAAATTTTTGACAAAATAACATATTCTGTCAGAACAAATTATACTTTTAACATGTTTTGTTACCATCTTGCTAACAAGAAATAGTATAAAGTCAGATGCAGTTAGTTTGTTTCATTCTGTAATTGTACCATGTTGGTGTTTAAGTAGTGTCTTATAGCATTTAAAGTTTTAAAACTTCATATTATAACCTCTTGCTAGCATTTAGATAATGTTTTAGAATTGTGTTAGCATTATATTAATCTTGAATTAATGTTTTTAGTATGATCCTAACAATGTTTGTCATTGGTTAACATTTTAAAACACTAGTAAAATTAATTAAGGCTGGCGCAGTGGCGCAGTAGTTAGTGCTGTCACCTCACAGCAAGAAGGTCGCTGGGTAGCTAGTCCGAACCTCGGCTCAGTTGGCATTTCTGAGTGGAGTTTGCATGTTCTCCCTGCTTTTGCGTGAGTTTCCTCCGGATGCTTTGTTTTTCCCCACAGTCCAAAGACATGCGGTACAGGTGAATTGGGTAGGCTAAATTGTCCTTAGTGTATGAGTGTGTGTATGTGTGTGTGGGGATGTTTCCCAGAGATGGGTTGCGGCTGGAAGGGCATTTTGCCACTGAGTAAAAACGTGCTGGATAAGTTGGCGGTTCACTCCGCTGTGGTGACCCCGGATTAATAAAGGGACTAAGCCGACAAGAAAATTAATGAATGAATAAAATGAATGAACATGCTGCTAGCATGTATGTAGCATTTTGTTACTTTGTTTTTAACATGGCTAGCATACTTTTTTATGAATTGTCTTGGTGTTTTTGGCATAAATTAGCGTCATTGTCAACAAATCAGCATACTGACTTTCTGCTAGCACAAATTATGCTATTAACATGTTTCTAGCATGTTTTATTATATGTATAGGCCTAACATGTTTTTGACGTTACCATCCTTCTAACAGGAATTAGCAGGAAGTAAGAAGCAGTTAGTTTGCATCATTCTGTAATTTTAATAATGTAAAAAATACAGTTTTTTAATAAACTACTTTTTGCTTTCCGATTACTAACATGAATCAGCATGTTGTTAGCATGACAGAGTATATTGACATTTAAGTAGTATTGTAAAGCATTTAACCCACAGATAATTTTTAAATGTCATGTTGTAACCTCTTGCTAGCATTTAGTTAATGTGTTAGAATTGTGTGAGCATATTAATTAATCTTTAATGAATATTTTGGTATTCTCCTAATAAGGTTTGTCACTGGTTAACTCTTTTGGTTAACACTCGTACAATGAATTACCATGCTGCTATCATATTTGTAGCATCTTAATTTTTTTCACATGGTTAGCATATTTTAAAA